AAACTAATAATGTTTAAATCAAAAGACTACGATTTAAACTAAATCAATATTTGCTGATTTCCACTCATTTCAGCCATGCTGTTTTAAACAATTTGAGAATAACAAAGCAAAAGCATGTTTGGTGTCAATCTATTTCATGATATCAGTGTTTAATATTCTATTAGTGTAAAAAATAAAATGAATGAATTTAACAGCGACCTTGTGGTTACCATGGAGATTAAATAAAACGACAGGATGGTTACTGGAGGTCTGCTCCTTTCCTATATCTGAGAACAATGTAATTAAGCTTTGGACTCCCAACTACTTGAAAGTTCAATTGTTTTAGTACCCAAGGAAATTACCTTCAGTTGGGACCTGAACAGCAACACAGCCTCCTGGAGACCAGAGATAGAGCTTGGTGTTGCCAGTACATAGCGCCAACCGGGGATGGCGTGGGTCCCACTGAAAACATCGTACTGCTGATGTCTGCTCCAGCACAGCCTCCAGGCTCATCATCTGCATGTTCCACACCCAAACAACACTGGCCATATTGTCTGCAGTGACAAAAAATAGTCATACACATTCAAAACCACTCTCAGCCTAAAGAGCCAATACTAGTATCATAACAAATGTACACAACAAAAGTCAGTCAGTTTTGTACTATATAGGGTCAAAATTATGCACACAAGGTAAAAAATATGCATAAAGCAGCACATATTTAGTTAATTGTCCCTTAGCACACTGCACCTTGAACCATCAGCATAATTCTTGTTGAAACTGATGTAATTCAAATCAACTTCCTCTCAGCTGAGGATGAAAGCGGTTTCTTTTTAAAACCTCTGCAAGTGGAGTTACAAAATACAGTTACAGACACTGTTAAAGTTGTTTGAACTGATGATGCAGGAATCTGCAGTTGTTTAGAAATTGCTCCAGGACACATTACAGACTTGTGTAATTCAGTTTCTCAGTTCTGAACTATACTTTTGCCTTTGACAAGTTAAGAGGCTTTTTGGGACTTTCACCACCACATATTTAAGAATTTAAGTGGGTGCAGATTATGTTGTGCAATCTTTTAGGCCAAGAAAAAGAGCTGTTCACAGAAATGTTTCAAAGGTCAGTATTAATAAAACATTCCTGTCAACAATTAGTGCAACAAGAAAGTTCAATAAAAAAGGTAAAAGAAAAAAAATCTCACCATTTTTGGTGGCTAGATAGTGATTGTTTGAGCTGAATGCCAAAACAGAGACCCCAATCTTGGGGTTGGCTCGGTCTGGGTCTGGTTTGACCACAGGAATTTGGAATGGCAGTGAGCATATCTCATCTAGATGAGGCAACAACAAAGAATTTATAATGAGACAAAATTGGTTACTTGACCTTGGTAATTTTAGACAAATATCACTTTAAAAATTAATACTGCTTACGTACATTTACTCTGGGTGTTGAAGAGTGTGCTGCCAGTAGTGATGTTGTGCAGAGACATTTCGTCAGTGCCAACAGCTGGCCTTCTCTCCACTTCTTTATACACAGTCTAAAACCACAAGGAGGAGTAATTAACTGGCAATCAAACAATGTCTTCCAGGCCCATCAAAAACGCTCAATACTCACAGCTTTTGTGCTTTCCACTGTTGCAGGGTGCTCAAACTGTGTGATTTTTTTCCATGTGATATGATTGATGATGCGCACCTGACATAAAGATAAAAGTATCTTAATTTCACTGATACTAAAAATTGCACACAACACATTCTGCTCAAAATAAAAATGAACCTGAAACTATACTAAAACTTTTATTTAAGAGAGAATGAAAAAAGTTGTGAAGCTTTTTATAACTTTAGGAGGAACTGCATGAAATTTGTGAAAAGGAAGACCTCATCTTAAAAAACAAACAAACAACAAAAACCAAAAACAGGCAATCATCAGGAAAGAAGCACAATTTTTTAACATCATCCATACTTTTTCATCATAGCTGCCAATTGCAAGGAACTGGCTACTGGGGCTCCAGGATACAGACTTGACACCCAGCGACCATTCATAGGCACTGTAGGTTGACAGCAACCGGCCATCCAAAGAGTAGAGCAACACCTTATACTGTGTAGAGGATACATACACATGAAACAGTATTAATAATAATGCTTTTATTCTGTTGCTAGCACTTAAGTACAGTGGTTAAGACAACCTTTAGTAGACAGATGTTGCAGACAGATGTCAGTGTGCTTCATTTTTAAATTTTAGGACTTTTTATACAGTGTAATTACATTTTGCAGTATTCCTGTTTCCAATATTATGAGACTCTTGTGAGGTGATCAATACAAATTTGTCCTATTCTGCATAAGTCTTTACATAAAGAACACTTGTACCTATTTATAGTACCCCAACCATGCCTCAAAATTTAAACTGCAGATAATGTTGTTTTATAATTTAAAGCTGACTCTTTGATTACTGTCTTCCTAAACTGGAGTTTTTAAACCATTCCCTTGCCATTCTTGCCAGGGTACACTTTACTGGGTGATTCACTGATGACAGGCTCATGTTTAACTGAGATAGGTAATTTGACATTACCGTGATGGATCTTTAGTGTATGAGGTAATTAACTAACTTCTAGACAACTGTCCCATACTGCCAGCACACAGCCATTTGGAGACCACTCCAATCCTGCCAGGTCCTGTGTCTCAGTCTCAAAATGCTGTAATAAAAAAGTGACATTAAATGAAGTTAATTAAGACATTCATTTAAAAAAAAAAAGTGAATATCTTAAACTTAATTTTTCCTAATATCTAGCACAATATAAAAAGATAAACGGAAACAAAATACAAAATAAAGGCTAGTTTCAGCTGTTCCCAGAAACACTGTGTTGGGTGTCCAAGGTTCATAAGTGCACACAAATACCACTCTGTCTGATCTGGTTGAAACAGAGATAAAAGAGAAATCTCGGTAACTGACTCTTAGTACTCCTGGCTCCTTTCATCACGGCACATTATAGGCCCTGTTAAAAATTATGACCCAGTGACTTGACAGCTCTGCCTCTGCCAGCTCTGTAGTCTTGCCGTTTAAGTTGTATTAAACTGTATGATCTCAGACATCTACTTAAAAACAAAGCAGCTATTCAAGTAAGAGACATGAATGCTAATGACTTTAATTAATACTAGAATCTATTCGCCTTTTATGGGATGAGCATTTGCTGCATTACAAACATGTGCCACCTGCTGCTAGAAAAAGCATAAAAGCAAGTGCCTCTCAGCTATTTGTCCCTTACAGCACATACTGTTTTTAGAACTTTCGGACTAAAATTAAAGCACATCAGATATAAAGTAGTTCCCCAGCAGAGCCTGCAGAGAATGATTTCACATCCCATGTTTTGGAGGGAAAAGGGGAAAAATGAAAAAGCAGTAGACCCACACAATGAGATCAAATCAAACTGGTATGAACAAATTACACAAATACCATAGATTCAATTCTACGTGTTTTAAATATAATGTAGCAGCAAATTTCATGTAACAATAAAGATAGTCTTATTGTCTGTCTATTATGTCTATATCTTTTTGGGAATCGAAATTAAGGTCCCTTTCACTGTAGTTTACATGTCTTAGTCAATTGATGAGTACATTAAAATGGCCTTACAAACAAAATCTTATGCAGCTGTAGCTCTACTTACCCTGAGTAAATGCCAGTCGTCACACACGAATATACTAACAAAGTCTTTGCAGTCACGACGTTCAGCCAAGGCCATATAGGACCCATCTCTGCTGAAATCTATACCTGTGGGTATACAAATGGTTTCTATGGAAGATCAAGAGGGAATTTGAACAAATTCCAAAGAACAAAAAGTGAGAAAAACAACTCTAAAATGCCACTTTATTTTCCAAAAAAACTGCTCACTGGTAAAATAATAAATAATAATAATAATAATAATAATAATGGTAAAAGGGACAGTATTAAAAATTTGAGCATCAATGACACATAAAATAATCACTTTTCCTTCACAATTTTTAAAGAGGATATTTAGTTATAGTAACAGTATAACAGAAAGAATTTCAAAATAATTTCATCTTTCTTTAAAACATGTCTATGTAACAGCTTGGAAAAAAGACAACTGTCCATTCTGATCACATAATACATGGCTTAATCTGTTTTTCATTATCTAATTCTTTGGCACCATAAAGTCTGGTATGCAACCATCATGGCAATATTATTTATATGACAGCTCTGAATATACACAGGTTGCAAAAGGGCATGGTATTACATGTGGAAAATGGGGAGAGTCAGACACAATCATTTTTCCACTAGTTGTTGACAGGCCTGTTATGAAGAGCATGCCCCATTTACTGAGGAGAGGCACAGCTGTCAGCATAGAGGACCCTAGTTTGGACCCATATCTTTGGGTAGAGCCACAAGGTAAAGAACGGCATGTGATTCATGGGGAATGCCAAGGCATTTAGACTGCTGGCCATGTCCTCAGGTACACTCGTAGTAGACATACATTCATATCCTATCAATTTCATACTCACCTTTCTGACATGCTTTGGGATACTTGATGTAAGATACGGCTTTGGTGCACAGTGACCAGACGGTGATTCTCAACTGTAACCAAAACAGAGAAAACAAAGAAAAGGAAAACATATATTATCTTCCAAGTTAAATGATGGAAAAGATCATTCTACCAGACAATAAAAAGAGTGTAAACACATCCATCCCTTTAACTGCAATGACACATTCACACTATTCGACCACTGGTCTTCAATAAGAAAATTTAATTATAAGTTATTTGGTAAGCGTTACATCCATATGGCAAGTGGCTGTCAATAGACACCAATATGAGGTCAGTCAACCAGAACACATTTCTATATGTAAAGATCAGCTATGCAAATCCAGACTGCATTTCCCACCATGCACTTTAACAGCTGTGGGAAGACTGTCTTATGTCTTTGAAGGGGCAAAAATCTCTGTGAGAGTCAATCAATCTATCATTAGACGATGGCCTGGAAAGGCCAAGTGTGTGGAGTGTTGTCAATCAGTGTGCTTCCCCAGGGAATGAATATACATGTTTAAGACCTGTAGCCGCTGAAAGGGACCAAAATAATTACGTTTAAATTAAGACCTGTTTAAATTAAGTTTAAACCTGTTTGTTTTAAGTTAAAGTTTAAGTTAAAGTTTTAAGTTAAGTTTAAACCTGTTTAAATTAAGACTTGAGCACATAAAATTAACAGATATAAAACAACATCTCAACACATAGCAGGAATAGGACCAGTCAATTTAGTAGCCAAGATGTAATGTCAGACATGTTTGCTACAAGTGTGACAAATTGACAGCAAGTTGTGCACATTGCCACAAATGAGAAGCAGCTAACTGACCACAAGTCGGCATAACAAAGAGAACACATGTGTTAATTCTAAGTTTTGACAGCAGTCACTTAAATA